TGCTCACTGGCCAGACACCAGCCCCCCTCTAGTTGTCCCCAGTTGTTTCTGAGAGTTTCTCAAGTTCTTCCTCTCTGACTTCTCAATGTACTGCCACAGTGCTGTGTCTGCTGCTACTGACTTTTGAACCAGAGCCTCAGGCTCCACCTGCCCCAGAAAGAGACAGAGATGATCATTTCAACCACGCAGTGTTCTCAGGGGGATTAGAGATGATTTATGAACATGCCTAGCATGTAGTAGGTGTTCAGTAAATGTAAACTCTTGTTATTATTTTAGATTTCGCTACCACCAGAGTTTTCAAGACTACTGCTAGATGGTTGGGTTGATGAATTTCAATGTCATTTTCTTCAATTTTCTGTATTTGCTCTTTGCTTTAGGTGCTCTTACAGAGTAGTGAAATAGTCATGTGATTATGAGGGAAGGAAGGAAGATCATTCACTGATTCATTTACTCGTTTAAAAACATGCATGAAATTCAATTATTCTAGGCTGGGGGACACAGATATGTACAAGCTATTTCAAGGGTTTACAGGTGATTGAGAGAGATAAGACTCTACACAAATCACAGCAATGCAAAACGGCCGGTAAATTCTTCTTTCAGAGAGGAAGATATCACTCCTGGCTGGAAAGATAGTAACAACTAACATTAATGTAACAATTTTAAAGCACTTCCACATGCATTTTAGAACTTGATTCTCACAAAAACCCTGTGATTCAGAACCCTCATTTGCAGATGAGAAGACAGTTCAGGGAAAATAGAGTGACTTACCTATGCTTGCTCTGGTACGAAGTCAGCCCTAGGGTCTGACTGTTCAGATTCTGAAGATCCCTCCACTGTATCATCCTAGGAAAGCTTCACGGAGAAGGTGACTTTGTGGACTGAGTATTTAAAGGCGGACCAATTTTGACAGGTGGAGACAAGGCGAGGGCTTTCTAGGTTAAATCAAACAGCACAGATATGAAGGCGGGAAATGTTGAGACATACTTTGGAAAGTGTGAGTAGAACATGTTAGCTGAACCATTAGCTATTTGTAGGGGAGTCAGAGACTTAAAAAACAAAAAGTGCACTGCACTGTGGCTGGATGACACAATCTGAATCAGCAGACTGAGGAGTTTAGAAATGATTTGACAGAAGTGATGGAGGGGAAGGAGTGTGCTGAATACAGAAAGAATTAAGAAGATCTGGAGAGGTGAGTCAGATTATTGTGGAGAGGATGGAGGGGGCAGGGGGCCAATTAGGAGGCGTTAAGGTAGGCTTATGGGAGGCAAGGCAAGAAGAGCCAGATCCAAGAAGCATTGACTAGTGTATTAACATGATGACTAGGTGTGGGAGTTGAAAGAGACGCAGGGAGGAAAGATGCCTCTTAGCTTTGAATGGAGTCCCTGGAAGAAGGTGATGCCTATATCAGTGGTGGCGTATTTGCAGAAGGAGCTGACTTAGAAGGGAAAACCATGAGCTCCCTTTCGGATTAGCTGTGCTTGTGTTGCAGTCTGTGTATCGCCACCTGACTGTCCACTGAGAAGGTGGGTGGTGAGTCAGAGGAAGGAGAGTGTGAGTGACCACCCAGGCAGAGGCCCTTCCTTCCTGAGTCTGCTCTGCTCCCCCCCCCCCCTTATTGCGTCTGATGACAACAATGCCTGCTATGTGGTAAACACTCAAAATACCTTTGGAAAAGAAAATCATTTAAAAGAAGACTTGTCAGGAAAAGTTTTAGGGCAAAGGAGAAAACTAGAGTGAGGGAAAAGAGGAGACAGTGCTAGCGATGGGAAGCACCAAATTTGAGTCACCGGCTCTAGTAATTTCCCAGAGATTAAGTGCTCCAAGGCCTGGTGGGAGCTGTAAGTGGTAGACACCTGGTGGAATTAAGAATATGGAGAGATTCTGGGGCCAGAGTATTGATGTTTAAGTTGCTACGGGTAATGGCAAAGAGTAAAAATGACTGAGTTAGACCCAGGCAAGAGAGGCCCCTGCTCTGGACTCTGTCTTTTAGAGGACCTCACTCTGGCTCTCTTCTGCACCCCTCCCTGCACTACCTCGTCCATGGGGCCAAGGGGTCATGCTCACTGGAACCTGTGCTTCTAGATCCAGCCCTGGGAAACAGGTCCCTGGGATTCCCTGCTCAAATGGCCAAACCTGCTTCCAGGGCCTCCCCAGGCCTCTATCCTGGGTCTGCCTTCATGTGGGTACACAATGCCACTACTTTGCACACTCCAGCCCAGGGCCATCTCTCTAGGTAGGTAGGGGGATGTAAATAAAGCTTTGGGGGTGAGTGGCAGAACTTGAACTTTGTGAGTAGGGGTATGCACAAATGTTCTTAAGGTCTGCTCCAGTGTAGGATGAAGCCAGGACATGGAAAAGAAGGGAAACAAAAATTGGGTGGGGGGCTGGCTTCCAGCCCACCTTGCACCACCACATTCTGAAGCAGAAGTCCAAGAAGTCTAGAAATTTAAGTTTAAACTTTAAATTCAGGCTTCTAGGTTGTAAAGAAAGTGCACATGTCAATATCAAGTGTTAGAATATATTTTATTTTATATAAGTTTGTAAGCTTGACTTATAACTTCTAAATATTTAGATATGTGATATACAGACCTCCATTTGTGATCCTACCCTCATATGTTAGGAGTCTTCAGAATAAGCAGGTTATAAAGATCTCTCTGCTGTGAGCCTTGAGCTTCCTTCCCCTTTCTTGACAACCACCACACTTTTTGGGTGAAAACTTGTTTTATTGTCCATCTCCTCTGATAGACATGAAGCTGGGTAGAGGCAGGAACCAGGCTGTCTTGTTTACAAATATATCCTGGTGTTAGTGCAATGACTGACACATAGTATGTGCTCATGACCCATGTTTAAAATTCTAAAATGATGAAAGATTAGGGCGCCTGGGTGGCTCAGTTGGTTAAGCATCTGACTTCGGCTCAGGTCACGATCTTATAGTTTGTGAGTTCGAGCCCCGTTTCGGGCTCTGTGCTGACACCTCAGAGCCTGAAGCCCTCTTCAGATTCTGTATCTCCCTCTCTCTCTGCCCCTCCCCTGCTCACACTCTGCTTCTCTCTCTCTCAAAAATAAATAAACATTTAGGAAAAATAAAATGATGAAAGACACACTTAATGACAGCAAGTAGGGTGAAGAGCAATGATGGAAGGGGGTAAAGTTATCTTCAAAGAAAATGTCTTGATAAATCATAATAGAAATAGAATGGCAGTCTAGATGTTTCTTTTCCAGTTAGGGAGTCTGGCAAGCACACACATCTATTGCCTTAAGAACTAGAGTTGAAGTAGTTTTTTCATTCTAAATTTTAGGTGTTTGTTGTTGTTTCCCTTCGATGAGTAGTTGCATTAGGATCAGATACTATAAAGTGAGGGCCTGGAATTCTCAAGTGATTGATTCACTGAAGTGCATTTAAAAATACAAATTAAAGGGGCGCCTGGGTGGCTCAGTCGGTTAAGCGTCCGACTTCGGCTCAGGTCATGGTCTCTCAGTTCATGAGTTCCAGCCCGGCATCGGGGCTCTGTGCTGACAGCTCAGAGCCCGGAGCCCGCTTCAGATTCTGTGTCTCCCTCCCTCTCTGCCCCTCCCCCCTTCACGCTCTGTCTCTCTCTCAAAAATAAATAAACATTTAAAAAAATACAATTTGACATTTAAAAACGAAGGAAAAAACACAGCCTTTGAGTTTTCCTTGAAAAACCGAAGCTTTGGCAAGATTGGCCCACAGTGGTCTGAAGCCTTTAAACGGGCCTGTGCTTATCAACGGGCCACATCCCACCACTCAAAGCTCAAATGCCACGGACATTGTAAGGCTTCTGAATTCATGACCTCTGGACCATGGGATCTTTAAGGCCTTTATACTTTCAAAAAAGTCTTTTAATTTCTTTAGGGTTATATATCTACCAACCTTTGAATGACCTTAGTGTCATTTGAATTGTAATATAATATCGTATATCTGCTAATATCTGCCATTAATTCTGAAACGGATTAATTCACATACAATCAGAGAAACCCAACTGCTCCAGAAAGCAACTTTCTGTTAGAGTTATTTCCAAATTTCCTTTAATCATTCCTCCGATGACGCTAAGGGGAGATGCTAGCTTGAAGGAGAGTCTGCAGATCAGAATTTGACGGCTCCCTGAGAGCTGAGAAGATTGTGTGGCGGTGGAACAAGAGGTGCTGGGGAAACGGAAATGCACAAGTGCCAGAGTGAAGGTTGCAGAACTGGGCTTGGGAGGATGATGAACAAACCGAAAGACGACGCTAAAGTGCTAATTTGTTCAAGTATTTATTGAGTATTCACGACGTGTCAAGCCCTGTTTTGAAGCGAGGAATTCAGCAGTAAACCAACAAAAGTCCCTGCTCTCATGGAGCTTAATTCCAGTGCGGTAAGCCAGGTAGCACACACGTAAACACATACATCCCATATGTATGTTTCGGATGGAAATAAGTGCTATTTATAAAACCAAAGCAGAGCAAAGGGGCAGCAAATGAGAGTGGCTGCTATTCCAGGAGACCCCGAAGACTCAAGGAAGCGAAGCACAAACCATCGATCGGTTTCTAATTTCCTAGGCTGCTGAGTTCGAGGTGCACCTCCCAGGAAACCCCGCCCCCTCCCTCCCATAGGGCGCAAGGTGCCATCTCCTGGCGAGCTCCTCCCACTTGCCCGCCCAGAGGCGGCCTTGGCGGCGGGGCATCACGCCCAGGCGCAAGGAGCGCGCTGCACCGAAAGCCGCGCGGATAGGGTTCCCGGCATTCTTCCCGTTCTGTCAAGGCCAGAAGAATTACCCCCGCTGTACCTGGCATGCTGGGAACTGTAGTTTCCGCCCGCAGCCCGGCGTGTCGGAGGAAGTAAAAGCCGTTCAATCGGCTCCATTGCTGGCACATGACTTGCATCCTCGAGGGGCTGTGGAGAGGCCTTGCTGGGGGTAGGGGCGGGGATCATCCCCAGAACGGTCCCGCAAGCATCCAGGCTGGTGGCCGCCCCGGTCACGTGACCCCAGCTTGCCGGGCGCGCGCGACTCCTCACCGCCATTCCCTCCCCGCCCCGCCCGGCAGTCGGCCTGCGCCTCCCCCGGCGCTGCTGCCACCTCGCGCTCGGAGGCGTCACGGAACGTGCTCTCCTCTCCCCCTCCCCCTCCCATCCCCTCCCGCCCTCCCTCACCTCCCCCTCCCGCGCCGAGACTCGCAGCCGCCGCCGCAGCCGCAGGAGTAGCCGCCGCCGGAGCCGCGCGCAGCCATGGCCGAGAACCCGGGCTTGGAGAACCACCGCATCAAGAGCTTTAAGAACAAGGGCCGCGATGTGGAAGTGAGTGTGCTTCCGCGGTCTGGGCCCTCCCGGCTCACCCGGCTGGCCGCGCCGGCCCCTCGGCGGCGGGGAGGGGCGGGGGGCCGGCGCCGGGCTGGTTCTCGCCGGCTCGCGGTGGGTCGGAGTTGGCCGCCGCCTCTAGTCACCGCGGCCCCGGCTGGGCGGAGCGGGCGACGGGACCGCGGGCCGGGCTGCACCCGCCCTCTGGAGCTGCCGGCGCGGGGACCGGGAAATGCCGGGGTTTTCGGCCCCGTCACGCGGGCGCGGCCTGCTGTCGGCGAGGAAGGGATGTGGAGCTGAGGCGGGGTCCGCGGGCCGGCGCCTCGCGGGCCGGGGATGCTGCCACCCTGGTCCGTCGACCGCACCGCGGAGGGGGCGGCCGCGACTCGCGCCGGCTGCCCGTGCAGCCTCCCTCCCGGCACGGCCCCCTCGGTGCCTCCCGCGCTGCCGCACATGGAGCCGGCGCTGTGCCGGTCCCCGCGCATATCTTGTGCGAGCGGGGCCCAGGCGGGCGGTGGCGGCCCGCAGAGGGGGGTGGGGACCAGCCGGGTAACTGACTTGTTTGAGGGTGGTGGATGGGGGAGGGTAGGATGCGCCAGGACCATTTTCTCATATTCCAGTGCTGTCCTTTGGACCGGTCGTGCTGAGCTGTTCTAGCTCATACTCCTCTTACTGCTGGCATTTGGAGCAAGCTGGAGGTGGACAATAGTTTACCATCTATTGTGTTGAGGCTTTGGAAGAGACGTTGTTTCGACCTCCGCTCACAGGACCTGTTTTCTTAGCCTTTCTTGTAGTGGGATTGTGCATAGGATAATAATTTCTTTGACATGCTTTACAGAAATAAATCGGATACATAGGTTCATACGGCCTCGTATATCTCTCTTGCTTCAAGCTGGTAGAATTTCCAAGTGGTTGCAAAACTGTAAACATCGTGGTCACTTAGTTCGTTGCTACACAGCATGTTGCCATTGTCTCATTAAGGTGACATTAGCAGGTACTATTTGCAAACTCGGCTTACTGAGGCAGCGCTAGAGGTCTCTCTGCAGCTACTGAAAGCATTGTAGTATAGTGCACAAACTTCCCTGGAACTCTGACCTCTGGATTTGTTAGGGAGAACGTGGTTTTAAGTCCACAGCCTCCTTTTCTAATACTAGGGGACATGATTCGCAGTTTTGTAATTCTTGATAAAGGGCCAAGGTGAGGAAGATGTGCGCATTTTTATCCTGTCTTAGAGAACGTGGTGGGGAAACATTCAGCGTTCTGTTTTGTAGAGAAACACAAAACTCAGGCCATTTTTCAGAGCTACAAAATTAAAACTAACTGGAACAAACCTAAGGAAATTCTGTGGAGTTCCCGTTTGAATAAGACAAATAAAGGGCATCTATCTCTACCCTGGTCATGGTTAAATTTCTTCTGTGGGAAATACTTGTAAGCAAAAGTGAAACTTAGGAATAGCAACAAGAAATTTTGGAACTGCCTCCTTAATTGGTCCACTTGATGATAGGAGTTAATTTTGAACTTTTTCCATCTTTCTTGAAGCTTACCACTATTATAAAGCAAAACTTACTAGTTTGAAAAATGACCATGTTGTTTGTACAGAAGAACTAACAACATTGTTTCTTCTCTTGGATATTGGTGCAGGTTTTTGTTTTCTTTTTTGCCTATGTTATTATCTGGGAACTCAGTGCTACCTAGTAAGGACTCCTGCACATAATAGGTTTACAGTAAATATTTGCTGATCATCAGAATGTAATTAATGACTTCCAGATGCATGAAAAAGAGGCATGGTTGCTCAGCCTTCAGCCTGAAAATATTGGTCACAATATTACATTTCCCAGGATACGTTAGAGTAACTAAGGCATGACATAGCAGACATTCAAATGATAGGTCTATGCGGCAGACACTATACTGGGAGCTTCATGACACTTAATTCCTTATAACGACATATGAACTAGTTATAGCATTATCCCCACTTTACAGGAGGAAAGTACTTTAGATGAGGAAATATGAGAGTGCTTACGTAGCGTGTACAAGGTCACAAAGTGGGTATGAGCATTCCTTCACTAATTGTTGGATGTCTGACAATGTTAGGTCTTGGGTATACAAAAGAGAATAAAATTCAGTCTGTACCTCAAGGAGTTTACAGTTCAGTGGGAATAATGGTAAAGTAAACTGATGATTACAATGCAGTACATCAATAAGTATATTTTGGGAAAATTCTAACTTGAGGCTGAGCAGTCAAGGGAGATGTTATGGTTGATTCATAGTGGATGATTTGGAGTAAACTAATCCTGAAAGATGAAGGAAAGTTGGCCTGGCAAAATGCAGGAAAAGGGAGGGCAAAACGAAGGGGCTTTGTAGGCTTGTGGGAGGAATAGTTGAACAGTAGTTGAAGAGTCCTGACAGAGTGCAGTAGAATTGCTGGGGATGTGACTGAAGGGTAAACTGATCAGGGATCAAACCTGGTAAGTGCCTTTGTTGTGGACTTATGTACAGCCAACACTAGACACTGGTTCTAATTTAGTTTTATCCATTAGAAACTGTGTTAAATCAGAAACTTACACTACAACTTAGCTTTGTAACTAAGTAGTTGTGATTATCAGGCTGTTTCAAAACAGTGAGATGTGCTCTGATGTGATATTCCTACCTTTTCACATATAGGATAGATGAAAGATAAAACTTTGTAAAGTGTACAACCAGCTGATACACAAATAAGATGCTAGGTACAAGTATAAAATACACATTTTCTAAGGGAGTAAGTTATACCTGTTCCACTAACAGGAAGTTGTGAGTGGGGAGAGGGCTGAGGAGGAGAGCAATTTCATAGTCATTCAGTCGGGAATGGCTTTACAGAAAAGAGGTTGGTGGATTTTATAGGAAGTATGTGCTGAACTTGAACAGGGAGCAAAAGAAATTAGTGAATAAAGACCCAGGTGAGAAAGAAGAGGAGTTAGATTAGGGAGTGAACAGATGAGACTTCCAGATGGCCCATGGTGGTCTGAGACTATATTTGCGGCAAAGAGTTACTTGGACAGTTCCTGATAGAGAGATCTGAAGGAGTTTATTCCAGAATAAAGTGAGAAGGTACAACATGATTAGAGCAGTGGAATAAGATGACTGGCAGTAATATTTAGAATTAGTTCTGGAGGAATAATGCTCTTATCCTGTATGTCAAGAGGAATTTTCAAAAAAAAAAAAAAAATCAAGATTGGCAGGGGCGCCTGGGTGGCTCAGTTGGTTAAGCGTCCGACTTCGGCTCAGGTTATGATCTCACGGTCCATGAGTTCAAGCCCCTCATCCAGCTCTGTGCTGACAGCTCAGAGTCTGGAGCCTATTTCAGATTCTGTGTCTCCCTCTCTGTTTGACCCTCCCCTGTTCATGCTCTGTCTCTCTCTGTCTCAAAAATAAATAAAGGTTAAAAAAATTAAAAAAAAAATTAAAAAAAATCAAGATTGGGGATGGAATGAGGATTTGAACTTCCTCCTCCTGTTCCTTTCTCTTCCTCTTCTGTGGAAAGCTCATAGTGGAGAAAGGTGATGAAAGTTATCTTGAGGTCTACAGATTCAGATAGGGGAGGAGTAATTATTCCAGATAGCAGTTTGGAGCTTGGGTAGGGGGAATGGATTTCGTAGCTAAAACTAGGGAGTACATTGTGAAAAGGAAACTTAATTTATCTTCATTTGGTCTGGAATGGGTGTTGTTGTTGTTGTTTTTTTAAATTGTTAATGTTTACTTTTGAGAGAGAGAGACAGCACGAGCAGGGAAGGGGCAGAGTGAGGGAGACACAGAATCTGAAGCAGGTGAGCTGTCAGCACAGAGCCTGATGCGGGGCTGGGACTCACCAACCGTGAGATTATGACCTGAGCCAAAATCAGATGCCCAACTGACTGAGCCATCCAGGCGCCCCTGGAATGGGTATTTTAATACCAGACCTTTTTATAGAAGACATTGTTCTTAGGCTTTTTTTCCCTTTTAAAAAAGTATTTAAAACTTTTCAAATATACTTACAGAAAAGTGCATGAAATGGAAACGTTCCATTTAATGAGGACTTATAAATCAAACACTCTGGTAAATGCCACTCAAGTCCACTTTGCTTTTTCTTGCTCCTGTATACCTCAAGAATGTAATATTTTTATCAGTAACAATAACTAATAACAATTATTTTTAAAATCTTAACACTTACTGTTTGCAATTTACCTGTACCAAGTATTTTGTATGGATTAGTTTTCACAACGATCCAGTGAAGTATATACTATTATTATCCATATTTACTGCTGAGGAAACTTGAGACGTACGATTCGTAAGTAACTAGCCCTAAGTCATCAGGGGTGGCAGGACCTGGACTTACAGTGAAGCAGATGACATGAAAGCGAGAACTCTTGCTCACTGTACTGTCTTCCCACTGCAAGGAACCTCAGACCTGAATTGTAGGAAATAACCTCTGAAAGTTAATTAATGAGGAAAATATTTAGGAAATCTTGACTATATCCTAGAAATTCCTGATTTGGTATTTTAAAACCTTGCTAATAAAAATTTTTGATATCTTATCTATCATTTAGTTTATTTGCTTTTTTTTTCTTTGTACTCTTGCAAAGTTTCCTTATTAGTGAGGAACTAGTTAGTCGGTTTCACCAAAAAATAACCCATATCCTTGGACTTAACACTTAAAACTTATGTTTAAGTTTCTAATACTGAGGGTAATATATATTTTCTCATCCGCAAATTTGACCAGCATTACCAAACTCACTTCTGTCTCTCTGGAGCCTCTATTGGTAAGTGCTACTACCGAATTGCTCAAGCTTAAAATCTCCTGGACTCCCTTCTCTTCCCTTTTCCTATTAGTCAGTTATCTGAAGAGCCCTCCTATTTTTGCCTTTGATGCCAACCTTACTACAGCTGCCCTAGTTTGGGCCACTGTTATTCTCACCTGTGTAAGTATGATCGTGCACCTGGTTTCCCTGTCACCAATATCTTCCCTTCCCATTGTATCTTGTGAGTTG